GCCATCGCTATTGGGTTGGAGGCCATTGATATCAGGTTGGAAGCCATCGCCAGTAGGTTGGAGGCCATTGGTAACAGGTTGGAGGCCATCGCTATTAGGTTGGAGGCCATCGCTATTGGGTTGGAGGCCATTGATTGCTAGTAGGTTGGAGGGCATTGCTATTAGGTTGGAGGCCATCGCTGCTATGTGGTTGGAGGCCATCACTCTTTTTTGGGTGGTGAGAGACTAAAGCTGTTCGATGGTCGCTCTCCGCTCAAGTGAATGCAGGGCTTTAGCTTCCAGCGCGTTTTGGAGTTCGCGTCGGTTCTGTCCGATCTTTCCTCGCTTGCTACTTGTCCCTTTCACTGTTCTCCTAGCTGCCTCCCCTGGATAGCCCTTGGATTTTGCTTAGGATTACTTGTGGCCTTCGCTTGCATCTTTGTGCTGGCACTTCACTGGTTTTCCTTGCAGTTCCGCCCCTTTTGGCACCAGGCATCTCAGGGGTTCCGATCCCCTTCCCCTCCTGATAGGCCGGCAGGTCTTGAGAGAAGGGCACGACTGGCAGCGTATTCAGAATAGTGGATGAGCCTCCCGATCACCAAGAGTGACATTGACTTGCTCATTGGTGCTCTGAACAGGCTAAGTATAGCTCTTGAGAGATTGGCAACATCGACCTCTTCGACTCCTACATCTCCTACAGTCTCCATTGCTGGTTGGGAGTTGGTTGAACCCATCTCTGAGCAGCCCTTCAAGGTCACACTTCAGTTCCGTCGTGTGTTTGAGGACGGCCCACAGCCCGTTCCAAGTGATTTGTTGACCCTTGCTGCAGGAAAGCTCTCGTCAGCCGCAGGAGATCCACGAGATAGAGTTGTTCGAGCTTGGCGTGCAGGTTTTTTGGCTTGGGCAGCAGTTAGCACTCATTCGCCCTACTCCCGTGCAGAGGCCATCTCTTTGTCAGATACTCAGTGGATCATTGCAAATCATCCTCGCTCTACGGGGCCGATTAGAGTCAGAAAGCTTGGAGACCTTCGCCAGCTACTTGCCTCTATCCCTCCAGGTGCTGAGGAGCCGTGTTACCAAGGCTTTGCATCGTTGACTGAGGTACAGATCTTCTGCGCCTCGTACGGCATTGATACTCCTCCACTGTATCAATGCAGCGCTCAGAGGTGAGGTTTGCGGCGGTGAGGGATGACTATTCACTGATTGTCATCGCTCTTACTCCGCCTGTTGTGGAATCAGTGATTGAGCTTTTTGCTATTCCTCTCATCCCGCGCGATGGAGGCTTCCTCATTTGCGGTCCCCCACGGTGCTTTGGATGAGAGCTTGATCAGTGAGAGTGAGTCGCCTGACATGACTCCTAGTTGGCTTGGCATTGGCACCATTTTGAACGTGCCTATGATTGAAGAGGATGAGACAGGGGCTCCTGTCAGCTTGGGTATGAGTGGCCCGGTGATGGCCATTGATGTGACGGATGAGATCTTGTTCTATAGCAGAGCCTATGACCCTGTTACGGACAGTGATCACGACATTTGCCCCTTCCACTCAGAGCACTCAGCATGTATTCCTGACTTGGAGGCGCTCCTGGGGAAGGTGAAGCAGTGGCTGCGTGAGAGAACGGATGAGGCTTCTGGTTTTTACTCGGCTCAAGAAGACCCGGGTGTGGCAGCCAAGAAGTCTGGAGCTCCTCCCAAGAAGGCTACTGCAGCGAAGAGGGTTTCGAACGCCGCTCTTTTGGATCAGATGAACATGATGATGGCTCAGCTGCAAAGCCTGTCTGTTCGACAGGATGCTTTGGAGAAGAAGACAGAGGTGGCCCCTGTATCTGCAGGCGCTGCCGTCGCTCCATCCGGTGGCAATGTCAACAGGCGGCCGGACTTATCAGAAGGCCTCGCTTCCGTGGGTGGCCCTCCTGTGGACGTGCCAAAGGCTTTGCAGTTGATTGGTCCTCCTCCTCGAACCCAGTTGGGAAAGGTGCAGACAAAGCAGGTTCTTGCTCCTCAGGCTCCAGAAGATCCCAATGCTGTTCTCCTGGGGTTAGATGCAGGCGATGGGAACCATGGCGCTATCGTGAATGCACTGAGTCAACAGTCGAATGCCCTCACAGCGCTGGTGGCTCATTTTGCGAATCAGTCGAGCGATTGTTTGACCGACCTCCAATCCGGCTACTTTTCGACCTCCTCTTCAATGAAGGGGGTACAGAGAAGAGAGAAGCTGCAGTCAGAGTTGGCCAGTCGGACAGGCAATTTCTTTTTGCTCCTCATGCAGCAGATCCACAAGAAGCTGACCCCGGGGCGAACACTGCCAAGGTCGGTCGAAGAAGTTGGGTCGATCTCCATGCTGGAGTACCTATCGAAGTCCGGAGGTTACCGAAACCAGAAGACCTTGGGACTTATCCAATGGATTCTGGGCCATGCGGTGGATGCCGCTGCCCAAGACGATTTTGCGGGGGTGAAGGAGATCATTGCCCTCCTGGCTATGGCAATCGAGCAGGCGAATTGCGACAATGGGGAGTGGTCAGTAGCCTACCTGATAAGCCTGCACGAGGAGCTTCCCATTCAGCTTTTTCAAGAGAGGGCAGCGGCTATTATGGCTACAGGACGACCCTTCAGTCCTCTTATTCCTCCAGTGTGGTCAGCAGCGACCCTGAGCTACATCAAGGACATGGAGGTTTTGGCAAACAAGAAACCCGAGGCCAAGAAAGGTCCTGTGCCAAAGGAAGGAACAAGTTCAGAAGGTGTGAACCAAGATTCCCCTCGCCGGAAGCCCAGGTTTCCCAAGCGCCCGAAGCAGGCGCAGGAGGGGGAGAAGTGAAACATGAGTTCAAGTGCATGAGGTGCAAGAGGACTCATAGGCCTCTTGCTCCGGAGAATTCCAGAATTTGTTTTTGTGGAGGTAACTACTTGCCTGTCGATGAGCCCGCCCCCTACTCCGAGAATGGTGACTTCAAACTTCGAAAGGGGGAAATGCACCATAGTGGTGGCTGGGGCATTGGTGATCATTCTGGACATGGTTCTGGGGCATTGGTGATCATTCTGGACATGGTTCTGGTCCTGGCAAAATTCTTTCAACGTGCATGAAAGAGCTGGTGTTCCTCCGACGTTGTCTTTTTGGAAGTGGTGCTCTGGTTTGCTTCGAAATGTGTTGAGGACCAGGACGCCATTTGCAGCATTTTTGAAAACTACTCTGCATCTGCCTCGGAGTTCTGTGACTTCGACTTCGCCGCTTTTCCCTTTGCCCATTCCGTCTCCTGGAGTGTTCCAAAGGATGCCGTCATCCATCTCTCTTCATCGCCGACGTCGCCTTCATCTGAAAAGGACCCTTCATGTTTTGGTGATGGCTTTGAACTTTTGGCATGGAGGTTCGAGGAGTTTCCCCAACGAGGTGCTTTTGACGAGGCATCCATCAAAGGCCCATCGGACCGTATACAGAAAGTTGATGAATGCTTTAGCGGCTGACGGCCCTGATTCCGGCACCTTTGAGGTGTTGGCCTGTGGTCGAAGATTTCCTCAATTAGTTGCACGACTGGGAGAAATATCTGACTATGTGACCAAGCTTGGAGCTGCAGGGCCCTATAGCCATTTTTACCATGGCCACGAAGTTCCCCTGAACAACAGTGTCCTTCCTCAGCTTCAGCCTTATATGCCGCTGGATGCAAACAGACTCAGCGTCAAGGGTCATGGTTGTTTTGACGCTACTCCACATCTGGGTGATGAGCTGCTCATGGCCTACAGGATGCCAGATTTGATTCTGTGTGATAGACAGCCCCAGTACGGAGACTTCCCCATCATGACAGATGATGCAACGCAGATTATTCAGCTGGCAAAAATATGGGATGCGAGAGGCTTGCTCTTCCTGCGAAGAGGTCCAGTTGAGGCTGAGTCACTTACAAGGGTGTTCAACAACTTCAAAAATGAGGAGTGTGACCGTCAAATCGGCGACCGTCGTGGAAGAAACTATCAGGAAGCAAAGGTGTATGGCCCCTCGAGGCATCTTCCCGCTGGACCTGACTTGACAGACCTCCATCTCGATGGGAGGAAGGAGGCCCTATTCATCTACTGCACAGACAGAAGTGATTTTTATCATCAGTTCGCTGTCACAGACGCCAAAGCTGCGGCCAATGCGGTTGGTCCTCCAGTGACTGCTGCTGATGTTGCTGATTTACACGCCTACAGTGAGATGCTTTCTAGAGAAGCCAACGAGAAGAAAGTGAAGCGCACACGGGAGGTCGAGGGCGATCAACTCCACTTGCTGCGTGAGCCTTCTGATAAGAAGCGTGCTTCACTGTTGAGCGATGAAATCTTCATATGCTTCAAATCGTTGTTCCAGGGAGATCATGGAGGCGTTGAATTTGCTACAGCTTCTCATGAGAGTGTCTTGCAGTCTCAGGGCCTCCTGTCGAGATCCACACGGCTGGTTGCAAACAGGCCTTTCAGAGGGGGGCCCTTAGCAGATGGCCTCGTGATTGATGACTATTTTGCCATTTCTCGAGAACCACGCCGTCTAGCTCCTGAGCAAAGTGCTGCAGCAAGATGTTTCTCCCAGAGTCAGGCGGTGTACAAAAAGTACGACCTGATCGGCTCTCCACAAAAGGATGTCATTGGCGAAAAGAGGGCTAGAGTTATAGGAGCCGAGATCAACTCCAACGACCATGCTGCCCGTCGTGGAATCACTTCTGTTGGATCGCCGATTGGGAAGCGCTTGAGTCTTAGCTGGGTGACCTTCTCAACTACCGGCTACAACGGACTCTCTTCACCTGTGTCTTCTTGGTGGCTGGACTTCGATGATTTTGTATCGCAGGCCTTTCATGAGCCTCCTCACCGCAGTACACAAGCTTGTGAATGCTGCCAATGTTGATGCGGATGCGCCCAAGACAGTTGCTCTTCCAAGATCTGTGGCGAATGAGTTATGCCTCATGAGCGTTTTGGCTCCCCTCATGGTGTCTGATATTGCTGCTGATTTTTCTGAGGAGATCTTTGCTACGGACGCCTCCAATACAAAAGGTGCCATTGTGTCTACTACCACACTGCCTTCCGTTGCACAAGAGCTTTGGCGGTGTTGCAGAACAAAGGGGGCATACTCGCGCCTCAAGACTGACTATGAGCTCCTGGTTGAACGACTTGGTATTGCTGAGGATGTTGGAGAGGATGGCAATGCCCCTCCTGCTGCTTTTTCAGGCCAGAGGCCTGTGAAACCTATAGCCTTCAAGTTTGACTTCATAGAAATTTATGCAGGGTCCGCAAGAGTCTCGAGTGCAGCTTCATCTATGGGCCTGGTCGTTGGGCCACCAGTCGATATAGCTTACAGTGGTGAGCTTGACCTGTCCTTGGTGAGAGTGATTGGCTGGCTTTCCTACATGGTCACCTCTGGACTCCTTGGTAGCTTGATGGTTGAGCCGGTGTGCACTACATTTTCAATCATTCGTCGGCCTCGGCTGAGATCTAGCTCTGTTCCTCTTGGGTTTGACCCTCGTGATCCCAAGACTCATCTTGGAAACGTGCTGGCGTTGAGGGCATTGACTCTCCTTTTCCTTGCCCACCGCTATGGTGTGCCTGCCTTAGGTGAGCAGCCGTGGTCGTCTATGATGAGGTTTCTTCCAAGTTGGAGAGCTTTGGAGGAGAAGCCCGGAGTGAGAACGATGCGCTCTGATTCCTGCGCCTTTGGGCCAATACATCTCAAGAGTTTTCGCTTCATTGCCGTGCACCTTGGCATAGATAGGCTAAACAGACGCTGCAGTGGAGACCACAGCCACATCCCTGTGGAGGGCAGGTACGCAAAGGCATCAGCATCATACACCCACGAGCTTGCCCATGAGATTGCTGCCTGTTTTGCTGAAGCAGTCGCTGCCAGGAAGAATGTTTTCCAAGCTGAAGAAGCTGGGCCAGTCGACGGCCTAGAAAATCAGCTGGTCAATCTGGTAGCCACATCCTCTTCGTGGAAGGCCCGGTCAGCATGGTCTTTTCAGACGGAAAGGCATATCAATGTTTTGGAGATGAAGAGTGTAGTCAGATTAGCTGAGCGTTTGATCGGCGTCCCTCGCCCTTTGAGAGTTGTCAACTTCGTCGACTCCTACGTGATCAGATGTGCTGCTTCTAAAGGAAGGTCTTCTAGCATTGCGCTGTCACCCTTCTTGCGGAAGTTTGGAGCTCTTTCTGTTGCAGGAGGTTTGTACTTTACTCTACCTTTTGCGCCGACAAGGCACAACCCGGCAGACGATCCCACTCGGGATCATGACCTTCGGCAGAGTCTGGGGAACGTCGATTTCTCTGCGATGGACGAGCATGATATCAGATTCCTTGCTACTTCAAAGGGCTTGAGACGTTGGGCATCAAATTGGTTGAGGTTGACACTTGGGTTGTTCGGATTCCATGGCTTGCCCTTTGGAAAACCTGGCCAACGTTGTCATGGTCTGCAGTGGACTTCTGTGGCTGGCCTTCCTGAGTGGCTTCCTCATGACTCTCGGCTCAACTTTGGAGTTTTGGATTTCGATTGCACTCTCGGCTTTCCTGGGGAAGGGCCTCCTTCCTCAGTTCCTAGCATTCTCCTTGGATTTGTCTCTCTCTTACTTCATGCCCCCTGTCCTCCTGTCATCTCCTTGTCTGTCCTCGTAGCCGGCCCGGTAGTTTGCCATGGCATGATAGCCCCGCGCACACCTGGAGACTGGGCTAGGCAGTCAGCACGACGTTTGAAGCCACCGCTGCCTGTTGGACGTCCTGTTACTGAAGTGACAGCCGGGAATAGAGATCGCCTCTTGAGAGAACTTTTTGGATGGTGCGCCAGAGCAGGTTGGAACATACAATGTTTGCTGGATGAGCCCTTAAAAAATGTTGAAACCATCAACAAAGTGCTTCAGCTTTTTGGTCGGCGCTTGTACGAGGCTGGGAAGCCTTATGGAACATACGTTGAATCCATAAACAGCATTGTGTCGTTCCGCCCTGTTTTGAGAAGACAGCTTCAACCCGCATGGGATTTGGCTTTTGCATGGGTCCGCGAAGAAAGGCCTGTGCATCACATAGCAATGCCCTGGCAAATCGTTTTGGCGATGCTCAGCGTTGCGCTCGCATGGGGTTGGGTTGAGGTGGCTGGCGTACTGTCGCTCGGATGGGGCGCTCTCTTGAGGACATCAGAAATGACTGGAGCTCTTCGGAAAGATCTACTTCTTCCGTCGGATACATTGGGTACAAACAGCTTTTTGTTGTTGCCCTTGCAAGAGTTGTTTCTTCAGAAAGCTGAAGTTTTGAGACGAGCAAATGTTCCTACAACACTGTGGTGGCCGGTGATGAGTCGAGACAAGCCATGAGGCTGAGCTGTTGGGAGATATGGGTCGAGGCCATAGGCCAATAGCTGTGACAACTGCAAGCAGCAGAGAAAAGAGAGAGCGCCTTACAGTTGAAGCTTTGAGAGACTAAAGCTGTTCGATGGTCGCTCTCCGCTCAAGTGACCCTCCCTACCCGGCCCTGCTCCTCATCACCGGGTCGAGGCCATAGGCCAATAGCTGTGTCAACTGCAAGCAGCAGAGAAAAGAGAGAGGCCTTACAGTTGAAGCTTTATATAATTTTTCAAGTTTCCACTCAAACCCTTCAGCGGCACAGGACCCTGACAAGGAGCACCGATGTCCACCGACAGAGGCAAGAGTCGTAAGAGTTTCATGTTGTTTTGTTTTGTTTCTGTCTTTGGTAGGATGCAAAGGTCCTTTTGGCTTTCCTTGTTTGACATCCTTCCGTTTTTTTGTGTTGACCTTTCTTCCTTTTTGCCTTTCTTTTCCCGAAAGCATTGCGAAGGGTTCTTCCGGAAAATCTCTTGAACACTGACACTTCTACACTCACACTCACACACTGACACTTCCGCACTTGCACTTGAACAGTGACATTGCGAGACGTACACTTGAACGCTGACGCTTTCACACTTACACTTGAACATGAACATGAACAAACATGAACATGAACACTTACACTTCTATACGTACCCCAGTGTAAGCATCCAACGGCAAGTATCCTAGTGAAAGGATGCAAGTAGTATCCAACGGCAAGTATTCATGAGTATGCAATGAGTATGCATGTATTGGAAAAAACTTGCACGGGAGATGTCCTAATGAAAAACATTTCCCCACTTTATAAATTCTCTCTTAAAGGCGGAGGGTGGGACGAACAGCGTCAACCGAAAATGCAACCCTCTGCGGAGATCGTGCGTGTCGATTGCGCGAAATGCAGGCGAGAGTGCGATTGGTTCTGTGCGCGCGCAACCCTCTGCGGAGATCGTGCGTGTTGCGCGAAATGCAGGCGAGAGTGCGATTGGGTCTGTGCGCGCGCAACCCTCTGCGGAGATCGTGCGTGTCGAGTGTGCGAAATGCAGGCGAGAGTGCGATTGGGTGTGTGCGCGTGCCCCTCTGCGGAGATCGTGCGTGTCGAGTGCGCGAAAGGCAGTCGAGAGTGCGATTTGACCTGTTCCCGCGCAACCCTCTGCGGAGATCGTGCGCGTCATGTGCGCGAAATGCAGGCGAGAGTGCGACTTGGCCTGTGCCCGCGCAACCCTCTGCGGAGATCGTGCGTAAGACCCACACACTGCCTCAACTCACTCGACTTAACACTTCACACTGAACACTTAACAGATCCACAGACGGACTGGACACACTAGACTGAAAAACACGTCACACTTAACAACATAGACACACATACAGAGACGCACACACAGACTCGACACACTAGACTGAACACGCCACACTTAACAAAACAACATAGACACACACACAGAGATGGACCCGACACACTAAACTGAACACGTCACACTAGACGACGTGTGGCCCGAAAGCATGTTTCATCACGTAGGAAGTCAGAGTGTGAGTTATCTGTTAAGTGTTCAGTGTGAAGTGTTTAAGTCGAGTGAGTTGAGGTAGTGTGAGGGTCTCTGTGTGTATCTATGTCCGTGTGTATATGAGTCTGTGTATATGTGTGTGTGTGTGTTCGAGTAAGTTGAGGCAGTGCGTGTGTCTCTGTGTGTGATGCGGGCTCCCAAACCCGCCACCGGCGGCCAAGCGGTGACAGCCCAGCTCATCGTCGTGAGCATTTGAGCTGCTGGTAAGGGGAGAAGCAGCGTGCGCGCCTCCAGTAAACTGAACAACAAATCCGCTGAACAACGTCAATGTTACTGTGCCCTTGTGTTTGAGCCCGCCTTGCGCTCGCTGGTGACACGTGGCATCACATAAAACACATCTCTATATCTCAGGATCACAACAGCAAGCACAGTCATCAGACTATATCTTTGGATTGAAATCTCTTTTCGTTTCGGTCTTCCCGACCTCTTTAGCGCAGTCTCCGCATATAGCCAACCTGCATGGTCAAAAGTCACGCGCTGGGATAGTTTTCAAAAGACTTGTGTGTGTTCATTCTGCTTGAAGTCTCATGCTGAGACCCGGTTCAAAAGAGTCATGTGTTTATTCTGATTCAAGAGTAAATATACTAGATATGCATTCTCTAATCTCTGACAGAAGCTTCATTTTGTTTATACCTTCCAAAAGAGAGCTCTATTTTTGACACAAGCTCCTTGGTCTGTCTGCGAAGAGTAGTAAGTCCGCTGATCGAATCCGCAGACCAACGTTCTCGACTGCGGCCCAACTGCCTGATGCTAAATCAAAGTCAAAGGTCCCATGTGGCAAAAAGTGCCTCGAGATCCTGTGACACAGCCTTAGTTCCCTCGGCGCTCGCCCAAGCGCGCGCATCCTTGCCACTGGACTTACAGGCTACGTTCACATGTGGAGCGTAGAATTGTAAACATTCAATACATTGATCGTGTGCAGCATAGAGGAACAAGTATCCCAGCTGCCTCTCTGCCGCCAACCCTGCATGACGCTTCCATTGCCGACAATGCGGCGCTGCTGGGCAATCGGATTGAAGTACAGCAGACTCACTCTAAGTCATGCGAGCACCTTCAGAACAAATGAATACAAATGAACAAAAGAAAAAGAGAGAGAGAGAGAGAGAACCACAGAAATAGACATGTATACATTCAGTCAATGGCTTGCACTACGCTCCCTTTTCCTTTCGCTTGAACTCCAGTCAAAGGCTTTCTGCCAAATGCATTGGTATCCATGCATCAGCATGGACCTGATTCTCAGGTGTAGGATCTTCCTCACATTTCACGACAGGGGAGTCGATGACGGACATTACAGGGTGGGAGAGGAGGGACAAAAGCTGAGCAGAGAGGTTCTCTTTTAGAGTTTCACTCCACAAAGCTATTTTGGCTAAAGCTAGCCTTGAGCCAAAATGTAACCATTTAACTTGTGCAAAGACCATGTGCTGAATGATTAGCCTACACCAAGCCTGCCCTAAGCACTATAGGCACCTACATGTGTTCAGTGTCTTGCTTTGTGACATCCAATGTGTGAGCTTCAGAACTACTTGCGTAGCCTGGAATTGTGCGCGGCGGTTCAAGCAGACCTTTGGTAGTCAAAGTGAGATTGCGCAAGTCTCCACAGAACTAGGGTCAGCGAGCGCCAGATCGTAGCCGGGAACATACAGGAAGTCAACAGCAATGAAGAATGTACTTGCAAGAAGTTTCAACACACCCCATAAGCTTCTCGTCAATAGGCATGCGGCGCACTGACCATGGCTGCTCTGCACAGTGCCCAACAATGTGTGTACGCTCTGGACGATTTCACGGTCAAAGTCACCAAAGATCCGACGCTGTACGCGCAGCAGGCCCAAAGGAACTGTCGGGTATGGTCAGAGATCGCACGCACTTTGAATGCCAGGCGTGCCATGCTGGGGCGGAAACAAGTCGTGCTCTTCCATTGCTACGGTGGCATACATCGTAGCCCAGCGGCACTGGCCGCATGTTTGATGGCCAGAGAAGGTTTCCAGGCGCAACTTGGGCCAACCACCAAAATATCAACTCAACAGCAACGAAGAATATACTTGCAAGAAGTTTCAACGCGCCCCACAAGCTTTTGCAATATTCATTTCCCACATAAACCTTTACAAAGCAAACAGAGCCTTCTTATGGCTACGCGTGTGCTATTTACCAATTTGCAGCCCACTAGCTCGTAGGTCTGCCTTTTTGCCCAGCCATCATGCCAGGGAACCTTGGCATTGTTGACGACCACTTCTTCAGCATCGCCCATGATGACCAGAGACAGGTGTGCC